ACTTCATCCTAGCTAATGACATTGACAACAACCCCATTCCCAAATAAGGTCATATTCCAAAGTCTGGGACATTAGAACATCAGCACCTCTTCTTTGGAGTACACAGTTCAACTCACTACTGCCACGATCTGCCAGGTGCAAAAACCAGACCACCTCATTTGGTCCTGACACTCTTTATGAAGTTGATCAGTGGCTCTCTACCCTGAAGGTTTACAGAATCATCTGCAGAAACATTTCATTATTTTTAAAATATATTTCATGCCCATAGCACACATTACATGCAACATATCCAGACTGGGAGTCAACATTTTAAAATGTAAAATGAAGGAGTCAAGTGTCCTGCAGGAGTACAATGCTCTCTCAGAAATGACGATCTCTGAGATCAACCTTAACAACAATGCTTTAAAATCTGGAAACCAAAGCAAAAAGAGATAAAATGTTGTGTCTACAGTTCACACAGAATATAACCAGAACTGTGGGTTTTCAAACCCTAGTCTGTACCACAAAAAGTCCATTTGTTCACAATCCATGCTGTCCATCTCTGCCTGCCCAGCCCATGTGACCAACTTTGGCATGGATGTCTGCAGATCTATGTGGGCAGGTGACCTTCAAGTGGGAAGCCAGGTGTGCACTGGCCTGAGCTCTCTAGATTCTTAGTGAAGGGGGAAGTTCCTCTGGGTACAGACACTTGGCTGGACCTCTTTGTACACACCATCACTGGGGCATGAGATGTTGCTATCAGAGTACCCAATAACCAGTCAGGGTGTGAGTTACAGGTAAGAAGTTGTCACTCTCAGCACTGTCTAGAGATCATTGGTGCTGGGTCCTCAGCCCACAGACACTGACAGAATACACAGATGAAGAAATATAAATAGCAATCAATGTTACCAAGTGGGAGTGGTCCTGACTGGAGTTTTATTTCAGGTTTTTCTTTCTATAATCAGGTTGGAAAACAGTGATCCTTCTACTCCAGTTTCATTATTTTTACATCCTTTTCTCTTCCCTAAACCAGAAAAAGAAACAGTTACTAATTTGGAAACTATTGCTGATTTGGGAACCAGCTTAATCCCTGTAAATATCTGCTCACAGTTCTACTGTATTAGATGTTGTCACCAGAGAATAGAAGAGGAAAGATTTTTTTTAAAAAGATCATGTGGTTCAGCCCTGAGGCCTTGGAGCAAACTCCTGTAACAGTCCGAGATCCTCTGAGGTCACTGTCTTATTTTCAATATCCTTCAATATCAGTGCCCAATTATTGATCCATATGGCAGCAGGAGGCCCTGGCTTTGCAGGAGAGCTTAGTTAATAGATGCTCTGACGTCCCTGTAAGCTACAGGAACTGCCTTAGTGTCTCTGATGCAGCTGTGGTTAACCCCTAATGCCATCGCATCATTATCATCCTTGGCCACTTTCACCCTCAACATTGTCTTGGTGTGGACAGTGTATTCCATAGTTATACCAACATTTATCCATGCTCCAAGTTTTGATTCAGAAAACATGGAAACACCCCCACGGCATTCCTTCTATGCTTCCCTAACAGAGGCCCTTTGATGTGCTCATGTGTGACTCACAGTTACTGTCTCTCTTGTTCAGAGATTGCTCCTGCCTCTGAGTTTGTTCCTGTTGTTCTCCCTCCCCAAAATGTTCTCCTTCCCCAACTCCACTTATGTAAATCTTAACCATCTTTCAAAGCTGAACTCCAGCACCATTTCTGTGATGTGGCCTCTGTCTGCCTCAGCCCACACTGACTTCTTCCTTCTCCTAACTTTTACTTGTGACATTTGCTTTGCTAAAACAGGGTAAAGAGTGAGCACAGGCCTGTCTTCAGTGATGGATTCTCTCCTCCTCCTCCCCCCCCCCCCCCCCCCGCCCCCAAGCAGGATGCCTGAACTTTGTTTAGAAGCCTGCAGGCAGAATCTGGTTCCTGGTTATGGTAATTTGATCCCAACCCTAACAGGTGGCCATTCTTCAAAAGTGGTGCGCTAAAAGAAATGAGAATGTAATACACAGTGTAAGGATGCAGGGTTCTTTTACAAAATCTAAGAAAGTTGCTAACAGGACATTTAAACTGGGGGCTTCCCCTTGTCCGACCCTTGTCCACAGCAGGTGCTCATTTTCCCTTTCCAGCATCCTTGGAAGATGGTCATTCAGCTTATCCATGGACACATCCTTTGAGACCATTTCTCCAGCTGGACCATCTGGACAGCAGGACGGTTTCTGTTTGTTAACATACTTATACTACAGTACTTCTTGAAGTTTACTTTGTGGACCATCTGCCCCAGAATATTTGAGATGCTTGTTAAAATCCCAGACTTTCAAGTCCAACTCTAGGCGTAACTAAATCGGCATTTGGAGCAAGGCGGGAAACAGTAATGTACATGGTTCACAGGCTTTTCCCAGGTGATGTCTGTGCACCACAGAGTGTGGATCCACTGTCAGTCAGTGGACTCTAGGCTGACAACCTGTTCCATCTCCCTAAAACCAAACTCAAGTCTTCACAGCAGCTCTAAATATCCTGGAAGACCTCTCTCTACTCTCCCTCCTTAATACTCAGCCAAAACCCAGGTTCTTCAGCTTTTCTTTACCACAAGGCCCCACACCCTGAACCAACTTGGACACTCTCATCTGGGTTCTTTGCTGTTTGTCAATGTCTCTCCCAAAGCGTGATCTCAAAGCTGGCATATACCTCACAAGGTATGAGGTGGGGGAGAGAGCTGAAAGGTTTTTAAAGCCTTTACCACACACTACCAATTTTGTGAAGTGCATCCATCTACACTCCTGCGGGCTGATCACAAGACCCCATTTCAGCCTGAGGCCACCAGCAGAAAGTGCCATCACTTGGAAAACCTTTGCTAACTGAAGAGGCACATGAGGTTGGCTCTTCCAAGTTGTTCTAACTTGGGTGGCTTTGTTTTGATTTTCAGGTATGGATTGGCAATTGGCAGTTTTTCTATGAATCACCTGTTCCTGTCCTTTCTGGTTTTCTTCTTTTAATCGGTTCTGCCCGTCCCTGTGGAAAGTGAGCCCCTCCTAGGCAATGCTTTACGAAATCCTCAAAACAGCACTTCTAGGTAAAGAGGCTGAGTCTTCAGGAACAGTGGGGTGCTCCCCTTCCTCACTGACTTATTCCTTTGGTGAATCAACATTACAAGGAGGAAAACTCTTTATCTTCTAGACACTTTGTAAACTGAGTCAAGAGGTCCCAGTACTGGGGATTCTCACAACTGGGTTACCTGATACTCCAGCCTACAGTTCCCTTTATCCTCTTTGGTATTTCCTCTGGCCTAGAGGTAACAAATAATAACCAATTAGTGGCTAGCAGTGCTATTTACTGATACAAGGTAGAAGGAGGATGTGTATGATTATTCATGTATTTGTCAATGGAGGCGACATGTATCTGCCCCAAAGTGAATATCAGAAAAGGACCAAAAAGGGAGCCATTTGGAGATAAGGCAGAGTCTGGAACAAATTAGTCCATTGGTTGACAGCAGGATCAGTATAAATTCCATGTGAAGCAAGAGTGGCTTTCCTTTTTTTCTATTTTGTATTATTGATATCCCAAGACCAGTGTTTATGAAATTAACTGAGACCCTAATGTTGATTCATTATTTATAGCAGTTTAGTCCAAACAGCTGAGCTTCTCATGGATTTTGTTAATTTAATCAAATTCCATGCAATTATACTTTAATTAAAAATACATATGCATAAAGTTGAAATGCTGATATTTAAATCAATTGAATTTACAACCAGATTAGAAGAGAAATGCAAACGATTAATTACAGATCTGAGTTAGAAGCAAAATTTAAAATAATTTAATCCTACACTCTTTTTCTATCTGGAAGGTAGCCAAGAACCAAAGGTCATGAATTCTCATGTCACACAGTGAGTGTTAATGCTGAGATTTAAATCCAGGTTTCCTGACTTCCGACTCAGACCCTGTTCATCTGGGCTCCTCCTTGACCTTTTGCTATTCCCAAATTCACTCAAGAAAAACCTGATCTTCCCCCCACCCCAACCTCAAATTTTTTTCCAAGTAAAACCTCTTCCAGGGGTCAAAGCTGCTAAAGTGATGTAAAAGTCTTGGTTCTGGGACTTGGCCATTCTAGGCAGCCTGATAAAAGTATCTTCTATCAACTTTGATAAAACCTCAATTTTTCCTCATTAGTTATTAACAGACACATACATGCTTGAAATTTCAATGCCCTACATTTTGTTCCAAATCTTTCATACATTAACAAGTATTACAAAAAAATTTAAGTACTATGTAAATTATCAGATATGAAAGAACACCTCTTTTCTTTCTTTCTTTCTTTCTTTACTATTCGAAGTTTCCCATCACTTTCTTTTTAGAGCAATAATTTTAAACAAGGCAAAAATTTTAACTTCACTTTCCCAACATTAAAGTTTTAGTTTCTTCATAAAGTACTGTATGCATGGCCCATGGGCTTTTCTCACAGAACCTAAAGAGAATTTTAAACTTAAACAGACTGTTCTCAATAGGGACACAAAATAAATTTTAATAATCAAAAAAAATGCTCTGATTGACCTGGATACTGATATTGTTCAGAACAGTGGGGATAAGTTGCTAAGCCTACACCGCTCTTCAGCACAGATGCTTGCACCCCACTTCTTCTTCTCCCACCAGGAATGCTGGACCCCACATGGAAGAGATTACCCCCTTCCTCCACACACAAGCAACCCTCCCTCTGTCACATGCACCCTCTCCCCAGCCCCAACACACACACAAACCTACCCTGGGTGTCATCCTTAAGCACCATTGTCACACCAAGGTCTCGCCTGTATAGTCAAACCCTGGAGCCACAAAAACTGACAACCTGCAAGCTATGTTCACTTCATAAATGCTCTGTAAACCTTGAAAACCTCCAGAAAGTTTTCTACCTCACAAGGACTCTCCTGGGAAATCCAGGCACCAGACCCCCTCTGCCCTCAGACCCAGAGGTCCTCCCCGGGGACAGAGCAGGAGCCTAGAACACACTCACTGCAAATCGGACTTGGCAGTTCTCTTCTCCCAGGTAGCAGAGGTCACCTGAGGCATTGGTCTCCAGCCAGAGGTGCTCCCCGTTCACGGCGTTCTCCTGCAAGGAAAAGACCCAGCGGCTTCAGTTTTCTCTTCAGAGACAAGAGAGAGTTTTAAACTTCTATTTGGATACAGAAAAGTTAGCCCAAGGAGTTTAGGTCCCACTTCTCCTGGGACCACTTAAAATACTCCTAGAATGGATACTACTGAAAGTCTAGAAATGGAAAAGGTGTTGGAAAACTTTCTTTGAGCTATGACCAAAATAGACACAAGGTCTCAAGTTGATTTATTCAAATATGTGGTCGTTTTTAAAAAAAATATTCAACATAAATGAGAAAAAAATCCCTAAATAGTATCATGTTAAGCCTTACTTATCCAGGCACAATGCTGCAAATTTCATGACAATTGAGATCAAAACTCTATTAAAATTTGCCTTAACTTAGTGAGTTAGAAGGACAATAGTGGTATTAAAGTACTTTGAGACTGTTTCAAAAACCATTTGTATAAGCAGTGGGTAAATTATACTTCTCAGGGCAGAGTTTTCTTAAAACTTGGTTTAAGTCCCTGGTACTCAAAGCATTAGTAAATTTCTACTGACTCAAATATTTTACTAATTCAGTAAGGCCTTCCATCCAATTAATTCTAAATTTTTCAAACTGAATAATTTTATTGCTTCTAAAAATAGTCACAAACTTCTGAGAGTGAGCAGGGCTCACCCTCTGATGTATGATATAATAAGCAACAGCCCTACTGTCCCCAAATATGCAGGGTTTAATTGGAGAGAGAAGTGTAAACACTTGTCTTTTAAAGTACCATGAACAGAAATCCATATTTCTTATAACACATTACATTGGAAAGGATGAATTTGTGTATTAACTCTTTATTTGGTTAAAAAAGAGTTCCAATATATTAGGGAAAGCATTGTATTAGATTAATCACAAAGAAACAAGACTAAGATGGCAGGTCTTATAGGAAAATTTCTTATTTTACTTTATTCATTAAAAATAGATGAACTTACAGTTATTTTTCTGTGGTGGATGCTAAACCCCAATTTGATGGTATTAGAAAGTACAACATTTGGGAAATATTGAAGTCATGAGGGCAAAGGAACCATGACAGATCTGTGTCCTTATGCAAAGGGAGCACAAGAAAAATATTCCTGTCTTCCTTTCTGCATGTGCACGGGTCAAGGAAAAGTCACATGAGCCCACAGAAAGAAAGTGGCTGTTTACAAGCCAGGAAGGAGTTCCTCACCAGGAACCAAATCTGCCAGCACCTTGACCTTGAACTTCTTAGCTTCCAGGACTGAGAAAGGAAAGCCTATTGTTTAAGGTGCCAAGTCCACAGCATTTTGTTACACCATCCTGAGAAGGATGGTTTCAATAAGGAGTTTTGTAGAATAACCAAGCAACTTAGAAACCTATCTTATGCATGAGCCACCCTTATTATAACTCAGTCCAGAAGAGTCCACACTATAGTCCTCTGAATCCCAAAACTTAGCCCAGAGAAGCAGAAATATAGAGCAAATGTTTTCTGGGTTAAAAAATAGTAAGAGTCACCCATCTTTTAAAATGAATACATTTCTTCATGTTTAAATATATTTTCATTGCAGGGCTTATAGTCACAAATATTTTCAGGCCAGAATAACCAAATGCCATATTTCTGTCCTATGATCTAGGAGCTTCATGATCCCAGGAAAGTAAGTAAGTCCTAGAACAGTGAAGTGAGACATGAAAGTGTAGGAAAATGTGACCAGGTGTATAGTTGTCAAGGGTTAAGGGAAACCCTGAGGTGGGGATAGGCCAGATATGGGCTCATGTCCCCCAAAACCAATCCTAAAATAAAAGCAACAACAATGAGGATCATCACCCACTACATCAAAGGGCAGCCACTTTCCCAAAGCTTCCTTCTCTTGTTGTGATGTTTATGACAAATCATGCTCAATTTGTTCACAGAAGTCAAGTCACTTTGTCTTGTGGGACAATAACAAAAGAAATAAAAGTATAGCCATAAGGTTGGACTCTGAAAGTTTTCAGCTACATATAGATGATGACAATATTAGAAAATAAAATACAAAGACACTTCTTTGCAAGATATTCTAAAGAAATCTATCCTCACACTCAATAATAGTCTCATCATCCAATTTATCCAACTTTAACTTAAAACTCATTACATAAAATAATCCCTTTCCATTTTATTATTATTTAATTCATTCAGCAAATATTTATTCCTTACCAATGGTACTAGGCACTGGGATAGTGCAGTAATTCATAGAGGCAAATCTACCAAAGAAAATTGAAACTAAACACACCATAATAGCAGCAAATACTACAGAAAGACATATAACAAAAACCCTGCCAACTATTTCAGAAAATGAAGCACAGAATGCTACAGTAAAGATAAAAAAAAATTGATAATATCAATCTAGGGAGACCAAGTGTTGAGTCTTGGAAGAGCCAGTAAGGCAGACAAGCCCTGGCAGGACCCCGAGAGTCTGAAGCTCACAAGTACCCCACTAACTCACTAGTCTAGTGGGCTGGATCGCGGGCCACAGGCTGTGTGCACCCTTCCGCAGTGTATACCCCTGCAAGCCTTCCGAGGTATGCTGGTCAATCCTACCTGAGAAGGGGGCATAGCAACAGACTGCTGGGATTAGCCAGCCTCACTCTTGAGTGAGAACCTGATTTAAAAGAGACACCCTTGAAAGAGAAAGGGTGTGTCGAGATGGCAAAGTTTTGCTGTACCCTGCCACAATAGTTCTAGCATGCTGATTCTCAAACTTGGCTATATATTGTAATCTGGTGAGTTTTTAAAAAAAATGTGGCATTTATACACAATGGAGTATTACTCTGCATTAAAAAATGACAAAATCATAGAATTTACAGGGAAATGGATGGCATTAGAGCAGATTATGCTAAGTGAAGCTAGCCAATCCCTAAAAAACAAATGCCAAATGTCTTCTTTGATATAAGGAAAGTAACTAAGAACAGAGTAGGGACGAAGAACAGGAGAAGAAGATTAACATTTAACAGGGATGAGAGGTGGGAGGGAAAGGGAGAGAGAAGGGAAATTGCACGGTAATGGAAGGAGACCCTCAGGGTTATACAGTGGAGGGGATAGAGAGAGAGGAGGGGAGGGGAGGGGAGAGGTGGGGAGGGGGGAGGGTGGATGATGGGAAAGGCAGCAGAGCACAACAGACACTAGTATGGCAATTTGTAAATCAATGGATGTGTAACTGATGTGAATCTGCAATCTGTGTATGGGGTGAAGGTGGGAGTTCATAACCCACTTGAATCAAAGTGTGGAATATGATATGTCAAGAAATTTGTAATGTTTTGAACAACCCACAATAAAAAATTAAAAAAAAAAAAAAACACTTGGGTAGCAGTCCAGTTCACTTTGATGGATCTGTAGTAAAACCTGGGCATCAGGACTATTCAAAATTCCTGAGGTGATTCTAATGTGCCGCAGAGTCCGAGACCCACTCATCCAACAGACCCCACTCTACATCTTTTAAGTTTTTTTGGATGATAGGTTATAGAATTTGTCTGAGTGAAATCTATTGCATTTGATACATCTCAGTCTTATACAATCATTTGTGAGAGAGAAAGAGAATCACAGCATGAGGGAGCCCAGTCAGATTTTAAGGAAGGAGGCATGGAACCCTAAGTACACTGTGAGTAGGCTCAGAGCTAATAATACAGATCCTGAGGATAATAAAGAAGGAAACAAACTTGCATAATTCTTTAAGGAAACAGTAGAGTAAAACAAAACATCCATGTACTGAAACTACTATACTATTCTGGGGAATGTGTTCTAAAAAAATTTGTAATGGAAGAAAAACTATGTACCTTAAAACGTTTATTTCTACCATCTGAAAATTGAAAAGTTGTAAATATTACAAACACCAACAAAGAAAAATGGTTACAAAAAGTAGGATGAAGTAGAATATTATACATGAAATAGGATATTATTATCACCGAGAAGTACAAAGAAGAAGAATAGTCCTACGGAAACTATGTGACATAGAGTCAAGCAAATAAAAGTAAAATTGGAAACTGATTGATATTAGGATCAAAGCTCTACACAGAAATAAGGACTGAAAGAAATGAATCTGTCAGCAGTTTGATTTCTTGACCCACACACCTACTTCTACTGGTTGCTCCCCTTTATTAGAAAATTTCAAAAAAAGAGTTTTTATTCTCAACTTCCTTTCCACTCCATTATTTCTTGAATTCCATCAGGAATTTCCTTCACATTCTATCATAATCACTATTTTCTAGATCACGAGTGACATCAAAGGTGGAACCAACTCTCTCGTTTCCACCTTACTCAACATCTTTTGACCCAGATGATCACTCTTTCTTCTAAAGACACTTTATTCTACTCTCTTTGTTTTTCTTGGACCTCAATGCTCTCTCCTTTCTGGTCTCCTTTGTTGGATCTTTCCTATATTGGCAAACTCTAAATATGATATTGGAGTGTACCACAGCTCTCCTCCAATTGTGGTTAGTCCTTAGGTTATTTCCCATCTTACCAATATGACTTTAGATCCCATAAAATAATTATTGCCTCCTCAATTATTCATTCAGTTAGAACCTCTTATTTGAACTTCAGGCTCGTTAACAAAAAAAAATTTTTTTAAACTGCCCTCTCAGCATCTCCACTCAAAGATGTAATATGCATTTCAAATTTTTACATTCTCAAAAACTCTTGATTTCTTCCATCCATCAGCTCTAACTCGAATCCTCTCCCTGAATTTTCAGTAAATGTCATTTCCATTCTTATTGCATAGGCTAAAAACTGGAGTCATTCTAGACATCTCTCTCACGTCTTCTATCAGCTAATCTGATTAATTAGTTTCAAAATGTACATGAAAGCCCCATCACTTCTCAACACATCTAATAGTACCACCAGTTCTGGCTTGGAACGTTGAAATATCCCCCCATTCCAACTAGTGTCTCTACTCTATTTTGAAGCCTCAGAGTCTTTTCCAAAGAGCAAGCAAAGTAATTATCTTAAAATGTTAATCTGACCAGGTCAATGATCCATTCACAA